GTAGGTCACTGGGATGACCTTGAAAGGGTATATCTTATGCCCAGCCTCCTCCTGTCTCCTTTGCTCCTGGCTGCCGTGAGGTGAGCAGCGCCCTCCTCCATTTGCTCCCGATGCCACGATGTCCTGCCTCACAAAGATCTAGAGCAATGGAGCTGGCTGACCATGGACTGAAATCTCTGAAACTGTGAGCCAAAATAAGTACTTCCCCACTTCCTTAAGTTGTTTTGTCAGGTATTTTGTCACAGCAATGAAAAGTTAACTGATAAATGGTGGCCTTTACCCTATCTTGTCCTAGGTGCTGGATCCCAAAGGTAGAACATGAGGTTCTGGGGATGGGGAGATCAGGGTCTGGTTGGAAGGTCACCAAGACACACAGAGTAGCTCACTGTGGGAGTCAGGGCAGTCAAAAGCTCCTCTTGGTATTTGGTGGGCCAGGAAGACCAGTCTGGCTAGGGTCCACCTATGGTTGGAGAACAGCAGGAAATATCCTCAAACAGGTCAGGGAGGTGTGTAGGGAAGAGGAGTCTGAAAAACAGGCTGGGTTGCTGGGCTTCTGAAAGCCGGCAAGAGGGAGCCATTTGTGGCTAAAGAGGGAGGGAGGGAGTTGATAAAATTATTTCGGCCTAGAGAGGAGAGCTAGCATTGTAGAGCTCCTCTGATAACCGGGCCTTGGGATATAGTGTATAGGTGTGAATGTGTGTGTGATTGTGAGTGCGCATGTGGGTGTGAGTGAATGAGACAGTGACTGTGATTGTGGATGTGAATGTGTGTAGCTGTGAGTGTAATTGTATGAACGTGTGTGCATGTAAGTGTGTTTGTGATTGTGTGTTGAGCACTGCTAGCACCATACTGCTGCTTTACCTCCACTAGACAGTGGAGGTGCAGATGACGGCAATCTCCACTTCACAGGTGATAATACTGAGGCTCAGAGGTGACAGCATTTGCCCAAGGTTGCAGGGCAAGGACTCCTGGGGCAGGAGAGAAGAGGGGCATAGGACGGGGGGGAGGGTGATCAAGGGAGTCAACTGATGGGGTGACAATAGATAGATGGTTTGTCCTTGTAGCTGCCCTTGGACCTTGTGCCCAGTTTGGCACACTGTTTCATGTGCTACTTTTGGTCACCAGGATGCTATCTTTCAAATTAACTCAACAATACTCCTAGGACCCCTCACCTGGGCCAGACCCTGGGCTGGGTTTGGGTACCAAAGATAAGGCATTGACACTGTTTTTAAGAAACTGTTCAGCCTAGGGTGGGCATCAAAAGTTGGAGGAGGTGGGGTGACAGTTGTTCTAAACACTTAGGTGTGACTTGTGCACAGGGAGCCGCACACACGGATACAGAAGGCCATGCAGCCCTGAGGAAGGGACAGTACATCTGCTCCCCGGTTCCCTCCTGCTCCTCTCTCCAAGGGTAGCCACTGTCTGACTTGTCACTAAGGTTCTTCACACCTGGGACACGTGTTTTTATAAAAAGCCTTTCAATGTCATAATCTTGTGTTCAGAAAACAAACCAAGACCCTGGCCAAGCACAGTGCTATGGTGAAGGGAGGCCTGTGGAACCAGCAGTGGCAGGCTAAACCCTGGTAGGCTCCAGGTAACCTTGGCTGGCAAGTAACCAGGCCCAACGCTATGGTAGTTCCATGGTGAGACCACATGGTGTTGCTTAGCTTCCGAGAGTCCAGGGCACCACAACACTTAAAGTCTGTAGCCCCCACCACCCCATCATCCCCTTCCAGTGCCTGATGAGGCCACACCCATGTCAGCATCACTTCCCAGATGGAGGCCTTTGGGCAAGATGCTTAATTTGTGTTTCAATTTTCTTATGAAATCATGTAATCATGGTATTTACGATATAGGTTGAGATGATGGAGAGAACGGTATTAAGTAAGTTAATATTTGTACGGAGTATAGAAAAGGATTGATATGTAGTATGTGCCACACGCTAGAAGATAAGGGCTTTCATAGTCAGTGGAGATTTTCCTGATCATCGTATAATGTAGGCATAGGCCTTGGAAAGTGGAGGGCAACCACTTCTGGGCTAGTCCTTGTGGAGGGAGGGGCTCAGAGTTCTCGAGGCACAGGGAAGAACCCTAAGGAGATGCCTGGTAAATGCCAAATGCGTGGCTGATTTCTTGGAAGGCAGGGAAAGAGCCACTTGGTACCCATCAACTTTCGTCTCACCTGCCAGCCTCCAGCCCTGGAGATTTGGGCAGTGGAGAAATGAGGCCCAGGCACTGCATGAAATATATCCCCCAAGTCTCCTTGCCTGGACTTGTAATCTGTCATTCCCTGCCTTCCCAAGAAGTGGAGGCATTCCTCTGTCTGCTCAGCTCGCAAGCATGCCTTAAACACCTCATCCCTGGAAGCTGTACACGTATTTCACAGACTGGGCCCCAAGGGATGGAAGAGCTGAACTCAGGCAAGGGCCAGAAACCTGCAGTGCTCTCAGTCGTTGCCAAGGTCACGGCCTGTGAGGCAGGTGATAGTAGTCTTTTTGGCTTAGGTGACCCCTGATCACATGGACCAGGTCAAGGGCGCAGGAATGATTCTAGTGAACTTATGGCTCCCACTGAAGTCCCAATCAGACCAAGGATTTGCTGTGAGATTGGCCATACTACATGCACTTCTGGAGCCTCAATGTTTCTTTCTGCAACCTGGACACAACCATGGCTATCCAGTAATGATGAGAACTGGAGGGTGTCAGCACAGTGTGGTGGGGACCAGACTCTGGTTTCCAACCCAGGCTGTGGGAAATAACTTGACTTCTTTTTCCTTCTGTGTCCTCATCTGAAACACGGAGAGAACTCCTATCTGACTTGGCAGATGGGAGGATTAAATGAGTTGATGGTAGAGCACTTGGCACATTATTTGCCAGTTCTCATTAGGCATTGTTAATTTCGCAGCCAGTGCACAATACATGATGTATCAGTTAACACAGCGGTCAGGCATTGGGCACTAAAGTTAGATAGCTGGAGTCTGAGACCTTGGATAAGTGGCACCACCTCTCTGTGACTTGTTATAAAGTAGGGTAACAATGACCTCAAAGAATTATAAGGAGTCAATCAACATAAAGTGTGGACACATAGTAAGTACTAAATATTAATATTATATCATCTATTATTACATCTGATCATTAAGAATCATTAATATTCTAATGGAGGGAGGGGAAGAAATTAACATTTTTGAGCACTTGCCATGGTCTTCTAGCAAGGATATTATAGGACAGGCATTAGATCCTGCATTTGGTAGAGGAGAGTGAGGCTCCGGAGGAAGGGCAGGAAGAAATGGCCACATGCAACACATGGGGCCCGGTGTCCTGTTCCCTTCATTACTCCCCTCAGAAACCCTAGCAGGGAGGCAGATAAGGGGCCAAGTTTCAAGGAGTGGGTTGTCCAAATTCCCACAGCAGAGAGAATCCAAACTCGGTGGCCTGTATGGATTTTCATCCCTGTCTTGCCTTGACCCCCTCTGAGCCAGGGAAACAGAAACTTTACATCTATAAAACCACAAGAGAGGATGGAGTACCCTGGGCTATGTCCCCTCCCTGCTGCTCCTGAGGACAGGCAGATGGCAGCCTCCAAGGAGGCCCGGAACACAACCCAAAGATAAGAACACACAACACTCAAAGGCATCACTGTTACCCAGAAATCTTTATTACAAAAATATTTTGCAAGCCAAAAAGTTTAAGTTGCAACTATATACAAAATGGGGCCTGTTTCCTTCCCAACAGTCTGAAAATAAACTCCTGAAACCACGCTCCTTCCGCAGGGCTCTTTCAACCTCTTCCTTTTCCTGGGGTTCCGTACATGAACTGTGGGGACCCTCCAGGCTGCCTGGCTGAAGCTAAAGCTATCATCTTCCCTGGCCTCATTCCCTTATTTCCCCCTCCAAAAATGAAAAGAAAATGAAATTAAAATGGCACCAAGAAAACATTCTTTTAAAATCCTGTATGTTGGGGGGTGTGTGCATGCACGTACGTGCGGTCTCTGGTAGGAGAGACGCAGGTGGAGGTTTACACTTTGGAACTGGGAAACAGCCTGAGCAGGTGGCTGGGCCACCATGGCTCCCAGAGCCACAGAGGAGCTCGGGCTTGTTGTGTCAGCACTGCCCACATGGCCTGCTGGCTCGGCCAATTCCTGGATACCATCATATAAAACCTCAAGCTACCCACCCAGAGAAGCCAGGTCCTTGCTGAGCTACTGACGTTCCCCTTTGCACCTGCAGGAAAGGGCACAATGGCTCAGTCTCAGCCTGAGCCAGAAACCCCTCAGGCATCCCATGCCTGAGGAATGTCAGGGACATTCCTGTCTCAGCACTACAAGTTACATGTGAAGACTGAATAAGCAGGGTTACAACATTTGCCTGCCCTAGGCCCAGTCAGGTCCTTGCCCCCAGTTGGAAGGGTAGGAGTCACAGGGTAACTGGGTTACAGACTCTGCCCAACCTCCTGAGACAGAAGGACAGAAGTGGATGTGTCCTGGCTCACAGCTTGGCTGTCTTGGCTGTGTGACCTGTTTTAATCTCTGTAGGGTCTGGGAGCAAAGATGGAAGGTTCCTCTTGCAAGGGTTGGCTCAGAGAGCTAGAAGGGGGGCAGTTGCTAAAGGAGTGGGACAAATGGCTGGCTCGGTGCCCCTCCCCTCCACATGTCCCTAAGTGCTTATGAAAGACAGTGCAAGGGGTGTCACCATCCCTCTCCCTCTCCCTTCTTTATGGAAGAGCATACCGAGGTTGCCTGGGAAACACTGGGCAGGTTTGCACTTACCACAGCAGGGCCACGGAAGGCAGGACCAGCACGTGGCTTGGCCAAGATCAGGGTCAAGTTAGTCCCAGAGAGAAGGCTGATGCTTCCCTAGAGCAGCCAAATATCCTTCTTCCTGTCCTCAGGGATCTGGGACTTGGAGGAACTGTTTCTGCTGTAAGAAATTCCCTCCAGGACAACAAACCGTTAAACCTCAGACTTCACACGACCCACCATGAACTTCAACACATGACGAAGAGCCAAGAGAACGTTGCTGTTGTTTTAAGAAAAAAACAAATCAAAACAAAACACCACAGATCAAGTTTTCTAACACCTCGGCTTCAAGATTGCACAGTTCACATTTCTCAATAATTTACAGGCGTCCATGGGTGCTGCTGAGTTAGTGCTAGCTGGAGGAAGCAAGCTTGGGTCTAGAAAGGAGAGGTGGGGGGTGGCCCAGTAGGACTGATGGTGTCCTAGGAGTCTTGGCTGGCCCAAGGAAGAGGGTCCCCTCCTCCCCTAGGGCTTGTGGCTTGTCAGTTCAGGGAGTGGGGACATCAGGGATGTTGACAGCAACCTCACCCAGTCTTGGGACGCAGTTCTCAGTTTTTTCCAGCTTCTCCATGGATGGGGCAGTTTGATCTAAAAGGGACATTTCCCCAAAGCCCTAGTTGGGTGGAGGTGGTAGCAGGAGGTGGAATTTCCTCTTCACCCTGGAAGATCAGGTTCTGGAACATCAAGGATGTGGCCCAGGGTCTCCAAGACCATGACCCAGACCTGTGCATGATGGTCAGAGGCACAACAGTTCATAGACTCCAGGAGGCTCTGACCAGTTCCCCAGCTGGTTTGGCAACTCCAGCCTCCAGATGTGGAGCAAGGTGGAATGGCAGGGGCCGGGGCTGGCCTGGAAATGCTGGACAGCCAAGGGGAGGGGGTTGGCAGACAAGAGCCACCCTCACTCCTGGTCCCAGGACCTGCACACCCAGCCCTCCAGAAATTGGGCTGGCTGTCCTCATCACGGCCACTCCATGTGGAACAAGACAACTTGTGGGGACAGGCCCTAGAACCGACGCAATCCCATTCACTTCCTCTGGACTTGGACACTGGCATACTCTGAAAAGGATGGTTCAGGCTTGGGGGCTGGCTGCTTGGGGACCCGGTTGAGGTGGACCATGTCCAGGTCGGCATAGGTGAGGGTATCCTCTGGCTTAGGTGGCGGGCCAGTCTGAATGCTGGCATACTCAGTGTGGTTGTTGGGCTCAGCAGCCCGGGGGACAGACTTCTTCTCCTTGGGCAGATTCAGGTCTGCATATGTGATATCATTGATGTCATTTGTGTCCTGGATCTAAAAGAGATGGAGAGAAGGTTGTTCTGTAGCCTTCAGCCCACTCACTCATCAACTGGGTATCAAGTCTGCATGCTTCTGTCCCTTTCAGCCCCCATGGGCTCAGTCCTAATTCAGATCCCTCTTTTCTTGCCAAGATTACCTGCCTCCTGCTTTACTCCTTCCAATCTACCTTCCTCTTCCCACAGCCTGAAGGGTCTTTCTGGAATGCCCATCCACATGGTCACTTCACAGCCCTGCTTCAGGTCCCCTCCCTTCTCCCAGCTGGAACCATCTGTACTCCCGTCTCCTTTCCCCAGGTCCATCCCTCTGCCTGGAGTGTCCACCCGTCCTTCTCCTTGTAATGAATCCCAACCCACGCCACACATTCATCACTAAGATGAATCACTGCTTCATCCTAAGATCCCTGTCCTCCACACCCCTGGCCAGGCCCAGGGCTCCTCCTCTGTGCTTCTCAGCTCACACTGCCCTATCATAGTGCCCACCACTGAGGACTGTATTTGTTTCAGGGTCTGAGTAGATATGGTCTCCCAGTGGTTGGGACATTTATTCATTTCAATGAATATTTGCCAGGCATTTGTTATGATGGAGACATCAAGGCTGGAACAGAAGAAACCTGATCCATGTAGAAGGAATGGGTGGACAGATAGACAGATGGATGGATGGATGAATGGATGGATGGATGGCAGGGTGGGTAGGTGGGTGGGTGGATGAGTGAAAGATGGATAGCAATAATTTCAGCCTCACTCTGGGTGAAGCTGGAGCCTGGAAGACAGAGAACAGGGGCTGTGTGAGAATGAGGCCATCAGTCAGTAAAGTGGTAAAGCTTCTGGAGTCAGAGACCTGGGTTTGAATCCTGGTTCTGCCTTCTCCAGCTGAGGGACTTGGAACAATTCATTTAAGTTTTCTGGGCCTCAATTTTGCCAGTTGTAAAGTGGGGATAATAATAGTATCTGTCATATGGCTGCTGTGAGGGTGGAATAAAGAACAGAGCCCAGCAAGGGTACACAGTGAGCACTTGCCTTCAGTGAATGTTAGCAATCACCGTCAGGCATGTAGCAAACCTGAACACCTTCCCTGTGCTCATCTTACCACCTGTGACAGTGCCTTAAAATTCGCCAGCATAAAGTATAAACTTTGCTCCCCTGCGCTCAGCACCTTTGCTATAGAAGCAGGGTGGGGAGATCACACCCCACAACTCCTAGCTGTGTACAACAGTAGCCGCTGATGGTAGTCTTGGGGCTTGGACCCACTCAATCACACAGATCCCTTCACTTAAGCCTGACTACAACCATGCTCAGAACTTCTGATCTCATTTCCCAGGGGAAGGAACTGAGTCCTAGGGACCCCTGATAATTCAGGCAAAGTCACCCAGCTGGAAAAGAACCAAAGTTGGTTGGACCCTAAAGTGGTGGCCTCCCACCCCACAGCTCTTCTCTCGAGTCTGGAAGGCACTCACTGCTGTCTAGGAAGCCCACATCGGCAACACTGGAGACCCCCTGGCCAGGGCAGGTGCCTGTCAGTAACCCTGCCTGCTCCACAAGAGTGGGCTGTGACTTCCTTGCTCACGCTCGGGGTCTGGCACTTAGTGGGTACCCAATTTATCTTTAAATGTGGATTTCTACAGATGTCACTGACCAATTCTCACCATTATCCTTTCCCCAAAAGGTTCCAGAAGGACATCCAGAGGTGAAATGACTGGAGGGAGGTGGGGGGGGGGGCGGGAGAGGCTTCTCTCTGTCATGATTGGAAATTGTTTTGTACTTGCTAATTACCACCCAAACTCATGCCCAGCGCTGCTGGGGCTGCAGGGGGCTGCAGGGGGCTGCAGGGGGCTGCAGCAGGACAGCAGGCCGAGTGCCTCTCACAGTGTGGCCCCTCCAACAGATTATGTCTAAAATGATGTCAACCGCTCGGGAATTATCAAGGACAGCCGGCATCCTGGGTTCACAGCAGGGCGTCTCATTACAAGGCACTGAGGAGCCTGTGCCTCTGAGGTCTGACAGTGTCAGCTGTTGACAGACAGAGCTCTGAAACAGGCTAAATCACATGGTCTATGAAAACTCAGCAGTGCAAGGGAGAAGCTACTAGGTCAAGGGCCAGTGCCCTCGAGAGGGGTAATTAATAATACAGGGTCTTTCCATCAGCAAAGGCCAAAGATGCGCTGGCGGGCTGCGTTGTGTCCAGGGAAGAGGAGGAGGAGGAAGTGAGCTTTGAGTGATGCTCCTGGAGGAGCTGGCTTGAGCAAATGCCCAGAGGCAGGAAGGCACAATCCACACTAAGGAAGTCTGCAGCCAGACTCCCTGGCACTTACATAGGCCACAGTGTGAGTGACACCCCCTGGAGTTGTGCAAAGGGGTAGCAATGAACCCAGGAGGCTGCACCCGCGTCTCCTGGATGGAACAGAGACAAGAAAGACAGAGGACCTGAGGGAAATTAGGAATGTATACATCCTCCTCCTTTAGGGACAGCCTTAATTTAGAACCGGATCTGCAGCTCTGGCTGATGGAAGGAAATCACACCCTGAGTTTCCCAGGAAGGGTGGCTCACCAAAGACTGTACCTGGGTTATTTCTCTGGCATTCTTCTCTGGCTCATGCAACCTAAAAAGGGAAAGAGACGCACAGATAAAAATACCCGCACTATCTCAAGGGCTCATGCAAATTGATAAGAATAACATTTAGGTTCCACTTCCTATACAGGGAGAGGACATGGATAGATGAGTCACAGCAGAATCACAACTGCTTATCAAATGTTTGGACATGGGGACTGATCTCACTAAGGAGGAATTTTCAACAATGTACTGTCTTTTTCTTTTTTTCTTTACCTTTTTTGGCGGGATCTTTGTGAACATTGCTCAAGAATGTATACTGAAGGAAAGGTGAAACAGATGGGGTCTTTCCACTACTGGTGCAAGAGGCAACCAGGGTAAAGCTTTGGGAAACGGGCCAAAATCAAGAGTTTGGCCAGCATCCTCATCTTTTGACTCACAACTGCATTTTGGGGAGAGAGGAATTCTGTATAGATAAGGCTTTGTGTTCAGAGGCACGTGTCACGGGCAAGATAGGGGAAAGAACTTTGTATCCTGTTGCCAAATGGGACCAGTTTAGGAAATTAGGATATATTTATGGGTTATGATTTAAAAGGCTCAGGAGGCTTCTTTATTTTCACTTTTGTTTTGTTTTGTTTTTGTGGTTGGTGCTGGCAATCAAAGCCAAAGCCCCATGCATGATAGGCAAGCGCTCTACCACTGAGCCACACCTCCAGCCCGAGGAGATGTTTTCTTGTGAGTTATAAATGATGACATTATAATGATCAGTGAAAAAGCACATCTCTGTGGGATAATTTCAATGATGAGAAATGTGTGGATAACTCTGGAAGGAAAATGCTAACAGCAGTGGTCTTTGTGGGGGTATTTTTCTTCATTCTCTATGTCATAAATATCTATGCATTCCTGTTAAGAAAAAAGAAGAAAGAAAGATGTCCTGCTTAATCAAAAAAGCTGTTCATGTGCTTGACTCTGTAGTTGAAGGCCATGACTTGGCTCACTGGAGGGTCACGGTCAAGGAGATGAGCAAGGCAGAGCCACCGGTCTGGCAGGAATCGTGTAAATTCTCAAGCCAGCAACTCTGGGCACTTGAGCTCGGACAATGTCAGAAATGTGCAATGGGGCTTGGTGGCGGGGTTATTAATGGAGCTGGCATGAGTGCTTGGCTCAGAGGCAGTTCTGGGACACGACAGGCCTCACATGGCCACGGAGGCAGCTCTCCAGGATTAGGGACATGTCTGGTAGGGGGGTCATGCACATGTATCTCCACCCTGCTGGCTTGTCACCCTTCTGCAGCTCCCCATTGCCCGTCTGGTTCAGGCTCAACTCATCACCGTGCTCAGAAGCCCCTGTGGTCTGCCATACCAAATCCCCCAGGCCCATTCACTCCCAGCCCTCAGCTCCTCAGGACCCACCCACCGACCACCTCCTCAGGGCTTCTTGGTGGTTTGCATTTCATGCTTCAGCAACAGCCCTGAATGACCCCATCACCACTTTCTCTGGTTAACTTTGAGCATCCTTCAAGAGTTAACCACAGTGCTGTCTCCTCAGAAGACTCTGCTGACAGTGCTGGGCTGGCAGGGCGGCCCCTCCGTGACAATCTCCAACCTTCCTGCACACTTCCATCTCTGCCACGGTGTTTCACCACACTCTCGGGTACCCAGCAAGTGACTTGGAAGGAACACTGGTCAGGTGGCTCCACAGCTTTTGCACACACATCCTCCTTGCCTCTTCATCTGCCTCATGCCTCTTCAACAGTTCTTTCTGGGGGAAGCCTACACCCCCAAACTCCATTCTCAGGAGATCCAGTTCCTGTTTTGGATCAGTATTTCAGACTGTCACCAATTATTCCCTTTCTCCCCTGCTCTTTCTACCTCAGTGAACGGCACCACTAGTGTTCATCCCGGGCTGAGGCACTCAGGAGATTGAAGTAGGAGGATCACTGCATAGTGAAAGCAAGGCTCTGCCCCCACTGACTGCTCTGGACTTCCATCTCCCTCCTTCCCTCCCTCTGCTCTTGCTACACTGGCCTTCTCCATGTTCCATAAACATGTCCAAATGCTCCTGCCTCAGGGCCTTGGCACTGGCTGCTCCCTTTGTTTGGTCTACTCCTGCTCCAGATAGCTCCATGCTTGCACTTCTCATCCTTTAGCTGTCTTCTAAGCATCGCCTCCTTAGAGAAGCCTTCCCTAATGGCCCCACACCTCACCTCCTGCTTTGTTCCACCCCTTATCTGCCTTGGTTTTATTTCCTCAGCCCCTGCACTAGTGTTTATTAATCTCTCAATTTATTTGGAAAGCTGCCTCCCCGAGGGACCATGAGCTCCCCGTGGGGAGGGACACTGAAGCCCCAACACCAAATATGGGGCTGGCATGCAGTTGGCCCTATAAATATTTGAACAAATGAATGAACATCTCTCTCAACGCATGCAAAGTGCCAAGAGACCAGGCTTAGCATCTTTTGCGATTCCCTAGCTCAAACCTGGCACTGTGCTGGGCTCAGTCCAGAGGAATAAAAGAAAAGAATCGGGGAAGCCCTAATATTCTAAGAATAAATGCAGTCAGTATCTGACAGATGAACAAATGGCTGACCAAATAAACTCCAGTGCCCAATTAAGAGCGCCGAGATGCTTTTCTCTTGTCTGCACTGAGGAGAACGGCAGACAATGTTCTGCCTGTGTAGCCCTAACCTAGGGAGTTAGGAGAGCTGTCCCTTCGCAGCCCTGCAACCTGCAAGGCCTTTCAGCTCAAAAGCAATGGCCTCCCCTATGCACCCACCCTGAGGGGCCAGGTTGTCCCCCATACTGGCATCCTCGGCAAAGCTTCTGATCCCAGCAAGCCAGGGCCCGAGCTGTGGCTACACGGAAAGCACCACCACTGCTTGCCAGAATGGCTTTGGTTTAGAGAGATGAAAGGAGCGAGTGATCTCATGGCTCCCTGGGTAGGCTCATGTTGAAAAAATATAAAACAGGCAGAAAACGGTCGGCTTCTCTGGGGAAGCAGACACAGGCAGCAGGAGATACCAGGGTAGTGATGGAGAGCGCCAGTGTTAATGTCAGCAATCGCTGGAGTCGTAGCTCCAGCACTTAGGAGCTGAGCCTGGTCGCCTCCACCCTGTAATCGAAACAATTGTAACCTTCTAGAACAGGGGCTCTCGAAGTACAGCTGGGGAGCAGCAGCCCCGGCACACATGTGGAGCCAGGGGCTCCAGCTGCAGCTTGTGTGTGAACAGCCCCCCACCCATATACCTCTCTGCTACACCCTCAAGTCTGGAGACCAGTGTCCTGTGACACAGGGCCAGTAAAGAATCACAGGGTTGTGTAAAAGTCAAATCACAAATGGATAACCTGAGTAAAGGGACAGATGGGTGCATAGGACACAATAAGCACTCAGTAAACAGGAGCTGTGAGTGATGTTGTCATTATGGCTACTGACACTGTACTTGCCTTCCAAAAGTTCACTGTGTAACTGGAGAGGTAAGACAAGTGAAAAATACGGACAAAAAACCAGAATAGAAGAGCTCCTTCCCACTGTGAGGGGGCATTCCAGGGGCTCCATGGGAAGAGCTCAGGAGCACTGTAGTGCTTAGGAATGTCATTCGGTCATCTGTTTGTTGATTCATTGTTCATTCAACAAACCTTGACTGAGCACCTAACCCATTCCAGGAATGGTGCCAACCTGAGGAACTACCAGCTGTGAACATGAGGGTAATGGTGCTGGTGTTCAAAAGAGCTGGGTTATAAAATGGGACACCTGAGCACACCAGGATGTCAATACTGGGCCATAGGAAGCTTGAAAGAAGCCCCTAAACCTGGAGGAGGTCACACTCCAGCTGAGCTCAGAAGGAAGAGTGGAGGTGAACAGATAAAGGAGGTGCCCAATCTAACTACCATGTCACGTAACTCTGGGGGGTTCAGTTCGCAGAGCCCACTGTGTCCCTGATGCTTGGAGCTGTGGAGACCCTGGGTGGTGCACATGGGGTGACACATCTTAGGACAGCCCAGTGTGCAAGGGCTAGGAGGAGAATGAGGACCCTGAATGTGGCAGGAAGGGAAGGGGTCAGGGTGCAGCTCAGACATCCAATGTGAAGACTAGGGGTGGAAAGCCAGCAGGAGCCAGTCCTTAAAGCCCCTGTGAGAGCATCTAGACTTGAGTTTGAAGGCCACAGGGAGCCACTGAGGCGCTTTGAGCGGAGGATGGAGATGTGTCTTGCCCTCTGAAAACAGTGTACCAGGTAAGGGAATATGACAGGCAAAGACAGAGAAAGGGGTCAGGATTCCCTGGAACACAGTGTTGGGTGAGAGAAAGAGGTCAAGAGGTTGGACCAGCCTCAGTCCAGGAGGTTGCCTGTGACGGTAAAAGCAGGAGGCAAGGCCTTACGCCAAGGGCACTCAGCGCCCTTCCTTGCTGGGAAGGACAGGAGCACACAAAGCTCCCCAGAGCCCTGGAGGCAGATGAGACCCTCCTGCTATGTGCAACTGCAGTGCCCAGTGGTTCCCCCATCACTATACTCATCACCCATGGCCCCCCAACGAGGACACAGCTCCCCATGGTCCCCAACCTTGAGGTGTCCTTGACTCTACACCCAACCCATCAGCAAGTCCTCTTGGCTCTATCTTCAAACTATATCCAGAATCTGACCATTTCTCAGCCCTCTGCCCACCCTGGTCAAGGCCACCCTCTTCTGTTTGGACCATTGCAGTAGCCTCCTCCCTGGCTTCTCTGCCTCTACCCTCCTCTCCTGTACACAGAGAGGATGATGCTTTTAAAACAAGCTAGATCACATCCCTCCTGTGGCTCCAGATCCTAAGTTGCTACTCTGCAATTTTGAAAGCTCCAAAGAAAACCAAAAGATTTACACAAGGTAGCAAAACCTGACCACAACCCACAGGAAGCTATGTGCAGTCCTATCAATCACTTGTCATACGAACGTATGTGTTTCCACACAGCACATTCACAGGGTAGACCGAGGGTGCTGTCTGTACTTGCTGGGATGAGTATCAGACACCTTCCTATAAACTGAAAATGTCTTCTTACTAAAAAGCTTGTGGCACATCTGGCTGCGTGGGTTTCAGCTAAGAGCCCAGTACTGGCAGCTCCCTGACCTCATCTCCTGCTCTCCCCGACAGCCACACTGGCCTCCTCTGCTACGTCCCATCCTGGTCACAGTGCTGGAGCTCCAGGTCCCTGCTCATGACCCCTCTTCAGGGGTAGCCACTTCCTTTGCTTAAGAGAGCCCCCTGCTCCATCCCGTGGACCTCCATCCCCTTGTGTATCACAGCCATCGCCACTGGATAGAACATTCTGGATTGTTTCTTCCACACTCAGTGCCTGCATCCCTCACCATGTCTGAGCCCCACAATGTCCTGACTCATTCTTGTTCATGACTGTATCACCAGCACATAGTAGGGATTTTACAACAAACCACTGTAAACATGAGTCAATAAATCAACATATCCTCTGTTTCACAGTGTCATTGTCGGAGTCCCTGACCAGGCTGTGAGTTTCAGGAGATCCCAAGTCCACCCCAGCACCACCCCGGGGTCTCCAGGGCCATGCTGTGGCAAGGTACTACATAGTCATTGAAGGAAGGAAAGGGTGAGCATACAACTTGGGCCTGGGAGGATGAGCCCAGCTGTGTGTAGGATATCTGTGAGCACAGCAGGCATGGGTGGTTCTGTCATAGTCCATGTGGGATTAGACAAAGACCTCACTGCAGGCAAGAAATCAGTGTGGCTGTGCACTGAAACCCACTCATTTGTGATAATAATTAAAAACAGATCCCGAGGCCAGGCATAGGTGGCTCACACCTGTAATCTTAGCTACTCAGGAGGCAGAGACAGGGGGATGGCAGTTCAAAGCCAACCCAGGCAAATAGTTCACGAGACCCTATCTTGAAAAATCCTATCACCAAAAATGGCTGGCAGAGTGGCTCAAAGTATAGGCCCTAAATTCAAACCCCAGCACTGCAAAAAACAAACAAACAAACAAACAATCAAAAACCCCAAAACCAGATCCCGAGCAAGTAGGTTATGAAAGAAAAATGAGAATATCGATGGGCAAGTGCATGAGTGAGTGTCAGTGCCAGGCTGCGGCTTTGGGGGCTGCCAAGTAACACCTGACCTCGACCTGGCTCAGTGGTACACTTACCTTGTGGAAGAAGTGGACCCCTTGGCTGAAAGAGAAGAGAAAAGCTAGTTATTTAACTAGAAACACACTTTGCTTATGTAACTTTGGGGAAGGGGGCATAAATATTTGTCTCCATAGCTGCAGGGAGAAATTATTGAAACCATATCCTCTGAATCACCGGGAATCCCAAGCCCAGTGGCTGGTCCATTATCTTCCAGGAGGAAGCCAGACCGTCTGGTTTTCCCCCCTTTGAGGAGATGCCAGTGTTCCCAAAGCAGCCTTCAGCCTGAGAGGGGCAGGTTGTCCTGTCTGTGCCTCATTTCCACTCAAGCACAAACTTTAGTGGAAACCCTCCAGCAAGCCCAAGTCCCATTAGGTCCTTCACAGTTAGACAACAGACTCTGGCAGGCCTTTGAGTTGGAGAGCAGGGTGAACCCCATGCCTGCCAATTCCTCACCTGTTGTGTGAACCTGGGAGGGTCCCTTCCCCTATCTAAGCTTCTACAACTCATGAGTTTGGCCTGGCATGCACTTATTTACACATCACCACTTTCCAAGAAAGAAAGCATCTGTCTGGCTCAGAGGTTTCCAGCCTGTGATATGGCATCCCACAGAGCAGCCTCCAAGGCTCCGCAGCCGTCTGACTCTCATTTTGCAGTGAAATTGTAATTAAAAAGCAACACGCGCACTCAAATGTGTTCGGCGCCACCTTTGAACAGGCTGGAGGCAGGAGCTCCCAAGCCAGGTTAAACAGGCCAGGGCCTGGGCGGCAGGGCCTGGATCTGAAGGTGAGGGGGGCAGTGAGAAGAGGGCAGTGGGAAGGCTGCTGCTCAGGACCTCACATCCAAATAGAGGCACATGGGTGTGAGTTATCTCTGAAGTTGTGACGGGACATTCATTGTCCTCACTTCACACCAGAGTCTAGGAAAGTGGCTAGAGTGAAATGGGAATATTCACCCTGAACACTGAGGTGGAAGAGGGGTATGTAGCTTTTGGGGGACAAAGTGTTGCCTCCCCCTAGGGCCCAGGGGTAAGAGGGGTAACTTTTTAGGGCAGAGTGAGACAGTGTGGTGTGCAAAGGGGAGCCCCAACATGATCCCTGGTTTTGAATCCTGGCTCCACCTACCTGCTGTGAGGCTCTGAGCAAGTCTTATAACATTTCTATGCCTCTGTTTCCTCATGTGTGAAATGGGGTAGTAATCCCTTCTCCAAGGTCCATGGTGAGGAGTGAGGGGGCACTGGGATTAGCTGTACAAGTGCTGCTTGTCACTGTCTCTAGGGCCTGTGTTTGGCCTGGAACCTGGGCTCTGCACACAGACTTGCCACTCAGGGATGGGTGCTCTCCCCTCGTCTGCAGCCCTCCAGGCCCCCATCCTTCCTTTGCAGCACTGGGCACTGATGCCTTACCCTGTGGTAATGAGCTCACACATCCAGGAACCAACCATAGCACCAGGAAGCAGGCCTCAGAAAAGAACACTGGAATTTCACCCACAGCCCACAAATGCTCCATTACCTTTGCTAGGCAAGGGACCTGCCTCCCTGGAAGAGAGGGGAGAGACAGCCCTGCCTATGTGGGTGCCCTAGGAGCTCTGGGAGCCATGTGCAGATGTGATGGTGTCTCTTGCACATTCTGGAGGCAGAACCTGACTCCAACCTCCTGGACAGGATTGTGAGGCTCAGCTTGGCTGGGGTCTCAGAGCAGAGTCCTTCCAGCCAATCCAAGAGGGACAGAAACACAGTGGAGGCAGAGGTGGAGGGGCACAGAAGGGATGTGTGTCTGATGCACAACACACACTGCATGTGTTCAGCTGGGGCCTGGACAGAGAACGGCAGCTTGGCCCAGTTGCAGACTGTGGCTCATAGGGATCACAACCAGCATTTTTAATAGAAAAGAGAGCAGAATATGACCAAAAAGAAAATACCAGAGTTTCTATTTTATATGAAGGGGTGTGTTCAGTTGAGACGTGAAATGTTATTTCTATCGTTCGCAGTAAAAAAAAAAGGTTTTGGAAATACCAGCTTAAAATTGCCTCCTCTGAGCATGGTGAAGGAAACGTGCAGTGACTAAGACTCTAGAATGTGTCAGACCCACTATTTCACAGCAGTCTTGTAACTATCCTCCAAGACATGTGATCTAAACTCATCTAACGGATGAGGAAACTGAGTCTCATGGAGACTGAGTTGATTGTTAATAGTATGTAACAAGGGTCTGAAACCCTGATTTGCACTGCCTCAGAATCACAGCCACAGTCACACCCATACACAACACATGGACACAAACAAGGAAGAGGTCCTGGCTGTGTATAGATGCCTCCCACTGTGGAGTCAAAGGTTAGGTACCTCACACTGTGAGGGACTTCCTGGAAAGGCGTATCATGTATCTGGGTTCACGTAGGATACCGACGACAGGAGCCAGCATTTACTGGCCGTGCATTGTGTGCCAGGCTGGACTCACATTCTACATGCCGCCTCCCTCCAGCCCTCCCACTTGCCCTGCCTTGATAGCAGGTGGGAGCACTCACCTGCTCCCGTCTGGCCTGCTGCCCGGGGCTGGCATGGAATCTGCCATGTAAGAGTAAAGCAGAACTCTGCCAGGCAGCTCCTGGGAAAGACTTTCCTACCTGACACCAGTAAGAAGAGTCCCTGAGGCTCCTCTTGCCACCCTAGCAGCCCCCTGCTTCCTGCCTCAGTAATGGTCCTGTGAGGATGTGAGATGTGGGGCAGTGACAGCCAGTTTGCAGCCATGAAGAGAAGGCTGTGGCACGACCCTCCCAACTCCAACATGATGAAGGTATGCCCAGGCCCCAGAACTGCCTCTGGGCTTCCTGTCCCTGGAAGTCACTGATGTCCAAGATATCTAGTGGCCACGCCCTCTAGGAAGAACAGACCTGGGCAAACTCTTGGCAGGAAAAAGGTACTCCACCTACCTTTCTTCTGTCTGATTCTGAGGAGGTAGAGGACTGCCATCAACAGGACCACCAGTAGGGCACACACACGCCCACCACAATGAAGACACTGTTATTCCAGCTGTTCTTCTCACCTGAAGACCACACAGAAGAGACGCTTCACATGTGCAGATTAAATACAGAGAAAAAACAAAAGCCCGAAGATCCTTTCTCACTACCCAGGCCGGTATGCTGAGAACACCTGGCTGGGCCTCCTCAGATGTCTGGAGCCACCTGGGCCTCTTGGGTATCTGTACATGCTTGCCCAAGAGGGTCATTCTTTCAGTACAGGCACCGCACTGAGGACCAGGAGGGGAAACACTGCTGTTGGCAGCCCTGGAGGAAGTCCTGCTGTGGGACGAGGGCAGAACTCCTGCTTCTGAGAGCTGAGGAACAGAAACACGTCCTTCCTCATCTGGAGTAAACCCCAGGGCAGCCACAACGCCGGCACAGATCCACCTGAAACTCTGAATCAGCAACCATCAGGCAGGGACTGGGGGGAGATGGTGGGAAGTTGTAGATGTGTGCTGTTGGCTATGAGGCTCTGCAGGCCTCTTGGGGCGAGCCATCCACCTGTGTCCAGGGCCTGGGCAGCAGCCTAGAAGCTGAATCAGATCACCTGGGGCAGAGACAGAGCTCGGGGACCCAGGGCACAGGCAGAAGGTGCTAGACTAGAGTACGGAGAAGTTCTGCACCACAGAAACATGGGTTCAAGACAGCTCCCCTAACAAGATGCGTGATCTTGCACACAAACCATCCTCGCTTCCGGCTAATAGTGATCTCTACCTCACTGGACAGCTCTGAGGGTCATCTAACTAACCAACTGCCCAACAACTCTCAGCCTTGCTGAAAGTACTTATCAAGTGCCTACTGTGTGCCCTGAAGCTCCAGTGCTGAACAAGACAGTCTGGGCCCTACCAGCTGAGACTCAGAGCTGATGGGTGGTGACGGTCATCTCCTCTGACACAGCCATGAGCCAGCAGAAGCTCAGGGAGGGGCACTGACTGGTCCAGGGTCACATGGCAAGTCAGTGACAGAGTTGCAGTGGAAATCCACACATGCTGTCTCCCACTATAGTGCATCCTCCTACAAAAACTAGATGTTGATAAAATCAAGGGACACCTGACATGGCCCTGGGGCTTTCCTGGAGCTTCCATGAAGGAGGCATGAATCCATTCAAAGTTCTGCTATGTATAAAACATTCAGCCATGGTGGTGACTGGTGCCGGGACATTCCAGTGTAGGGCCACCAAGGCACAGGTATTTCCAAGATAAATGAAATCTGGATTGACAACACATGGAAGGGGGCTGAGAAAACACTGCCCTGACATCCTTGAACTGTTGCAGGATAGTGGAAGCATGACCTCTGTCCTAAACCAGTGTGCCTTTGACCTACAAATGCACTTCCAGATACTGCCCCATGGAAACAGGCACACACAAGACAGAGGATGTCCACTACAGCACTGACTGTCCTTCAATCATCTGCTCTACCCCTGAGGCAGGAGGTTAGAAAGAGTAAGGACAGAGGAGGGAGAGGCTATGAAGAATAGGATGTAACAACTGCTAGTAAAGAGCTCAGGGGCACGATGCTAGAACAGGAGGGTGCCCTGCCTCCCCCCTTCTTCTTCCACATCTTTTATGTCAAAGATCCCTTAAGACATGTACCAAATTCCTACCAGTGATGATTCTGGGAGCTGATTTTAAAATTCTGCTTTAGGTTCTATTCTTCTAAATTGTTCCATAATAAGCATTATTAACTACTTTTAACATTGAAAAAAAGATAAAATTAGATAAAGTTTTAAAAGAGCTGGTCAGCAGGAGTGGAGCTCACCAGGGGTGCTATCGGTGCCCTGCTCCTTTTGCTCAGCAGCGACCTCCAGAGTAAGGTTTCCAGTGGCCGCCGGCTGCCCGTCATGCTCCACCTGGCAGGTGAACACCACGCTCTCCCTATGGGCAGATGAGTTGACCAGGAGCCAGCTGGTCTGGTTGTAAGTCCCATCCTTGTTCTCTGTGAGGGTTGAGGCCGTTTCTGTCCGGGACACGTTTCCGTTCTCTAACCAGGTGAGCTGCAGGATCTGGGGGTAGAACTTCTTCACCTGGCAGGTGAGGTTCACCTGGTTGCCTGTCATCCTGGGCTGTTGGGTGACCTCCAAGGTGGGTGGAACTGAAACAGCACAGGCGGGAGCTCTGACCTTGTGGTACAGATGGATCCCAGAAGGGGAGATGGAGCGCTGAGCCCCAGCACCATGCCAAGGGCATCACCCAGACAGTGCTGGGCAGGCAGCAGATGCTCAACACGAGGGTGTGCATATGAGTGAAACCACTAAGCACAGCACACAGTAGGGCTGTTAGCTCCTGTTAGGGTAACAATGAGTACAAACAACACGTGCAAACCCTGGCATGCAGTGAGATGCAGTAACAGCAGCAACTAAACAAAAGCACCAGGCACTTGGGGATCAGGCCATGCTAGGTGCCCAATACTTGTAGCTGCTTTTAGTAAAACTAAGTGCACTACCAGCACAGTGCATGGCACAGGGAAGAGACCTCCTGTGCATGGTAGGGTCAGGCCTGCTGGGCATGAGGTCCAGGCCATCAGGCCCTCGGGCAAAAGCCCTGGGGAGGAGCAGGCTTAGTGGCCAGGTGTGGAGTTGGGCTGGGAGTCAGGGTCATCTACCTCGGATGGTGTCAGACAAGTTGGCAGTCCCACGAAGAGGAGCCCCCTGTAAAGTGACGTGGGCCACCTCACAGATGACCTGAGAGCGGACGTCTCCAGGGTCCAGTGCCACCTGGGCTGTGCTGGAGATGCGGTAGGAGACGCTCTCTCCTGTGGGATCCACATTGGTCTGGAAGTTGGAGAGCACGTTCCCATTTTTGAACCACTTCAGGGTGATGTTCCGGGGGGAGAAGCCGTGGGACTTGCAGGTGAAGCTCACTGTCTGCCCAGGTGCAGCCCTGGCCCAGGGCCTGATACCATAGGAGGAGAGGGTCTGGCTACAAAGAGCATTTGACAAGAGACATGATTGTGATGGCCACCCCTGACCACACAGGAGTGATGCTGTGATAGCTTCCTAGACAGTATTATTATTATCACTCATTATTATAATTACTGTGCTAGGACTCGAATTCAGGGCTTTAAGTGTACTGAGCACATGCTTTACCACTGAGCCATAAACAAGACATGATTTGCCAAACCTCCTAATAAAGCTGTGAAGGCAGTGCCCTTAGTCTCCTGTTACAAAGGAAGATGCAAATGCTCCTACAGGTGAGTGAGCCAGACAGTGAGGAAGGGCAGGCCCAGGTGGAATTCCAGCCTGAGGTCAAAGTCCTTCTCTCTGCACCAGGGCATCCACCAATCTGGGCACAGAAAGGAAATTACAACCTGTCTCATGCTTTGTATTATCTGCTCCCTGTTGGCCTTCTCTGGATACTTTGCCAACCTAGGAAAAGTGTCTATAGATGTGAGCACAGTGGACAAATACCCCAAGGACAGCCACAAAGGTGAAACCTGGTTAGCGATGCGATACCCACATCCCAGTGCTGTCCTATGAAATGGGTGGCAGCCTTTCTCCCTCCTGGGTCACAGGGAGGATGAACTGAGGCCCTGGAAGCTTTTCACCTTCGTAACACACAAGAGCTGCTTCTTACACAGGAATACACAGACCTGTCCTCAACCCAAACTTCGTACATCCAGAGCTCTCTCAGCAGGAACTTATAATTCACTCCATTTTTTCCTTCTTTCCACAAACATGCCAGAAGGTCTAACCTATGCTGAGTCCTGAACACGAAAGGGAGAGGATAAAGGATGCTTTCTGAATCTGGGGGCTTCTGAGTCTGTTTGGAGTTGGAAACACAGGTCACAGAGTGCTGAGAAAGCCAGCATGGTTAAGGTCTTGATCTCTAATTAATTACAAGTCACCCTAACACAGGCACTCTGAGAAGGCAGGGGCACTTCCTGGTCCTGGAAGTGCACTCTTGGTGATCAGAAGGGGGAGGCAGTGTCCCCTGCAGACAGGTGCTACTGGTGTCTCCAAATGCTAATTATTGCCCAGCACCTTCTATAATACATAACGGTTACCAGGTAGCAAATAATAGAAATATTTCTGTTTGTAAATATTTAACTTGCCCCCTAACATCCATTGAAAGCTTTGAGAATACAATAAGGAAGGTGTCACTTGAGTAAGTCAAGCCATCGAGACAACAGCAGCCCACAAGATTCTGAAGGGATGAGGGGCTGCAGAGCTGGACCTCTATGTCTGAGGCTCCCTGTCCTGCATTCAAACAGCTGCAGATTGAAATATTTTTAAAACTGCATTTGTCCCGAATATGAACAGATTTTTTTTTTGCTATTATTCCTAAACAATCCAGTATATCGCCTATTCATACAGCGCTAGGTATTATTACTAATCTAGAGATGACTTAAAGCATTTGAGAGAATGGACGCAGGTTACATGCAAATACTACAGCATTGTCGGGGAGGGGCTCCAGCATCCATGGATCTCAGTATTCTCAGGGATCCTGGGACCGATTCCCACAGTACTCTGGGCCAACTGCGATGACCATTGATTGAATTCTCTGGCTGTGCCCTTTGTGCTCACCAGCCCTGCAAGTGGGTCCTAGTGTGAGCCCCCCGTTATGAGACAAGGGTCACACAGGTGTGTGGCTGCCCAAGGCATAGTGGGCAATGGATGGGCCTCAACTCCTTCAGTGTAGGTTATTAAGTTTAGCATCTTTGTTCTTATCTTTCTGAGCCCCAAATGGGGAAACCACCACCTGGGAAGATGAGTGAGGATTGGTCAGAACACAGTGCCTGATACATAGTAGGTGTTTAATGAATAAGGCCTATGACTGTTGTCATTACTAGTTGTGAAACTGTACATTTATTCCTTAGGCAGCCAGAAGGCACATGAAAAGCTGCAGAGAAACACCAAGAAAAGTCTCCCTCCTGTTTCTGCAGCTGCCATGAAAAACCTGAATGAGAAAGGGGCAAGAACCATTGCATCAGGCCCCTCTAACAGTCTCCTCAGGAACCGAGTTTGAGAAGTGGCTTTCAAAATATAAACAGTGTCACAGTTTCCCCAGAGGAGCTGTTTACAGAAAGCTGGAAGCTCCATGCAGGGAACGGATAGAATCCTCAGTGACAAGTGGGACACTGAGGCAGGGAGGAGTCTATGCACAGAGCAAGCACTTGCTGGGTTCCAGTGCCTGTTCAGATGCAGACATGTGTAAGGCAGAAAGATCCACCTTAAGGCGGGGGTCTAAATATGACTCTGTCTGGGCGTCCCCAGGAGGCATCCTTGCTCACCACGCTGACCAGAGACCTGTGCCCTGCACCTGCTATTCTGTAGCAGCCCACAGAGACGGGATTCAACTTTCCAAGGGGTAAAAAAGATCACCTTTTCTCCTCTGACCTCAGGACCTCTCTTAGAGGTTCTCAGTGCAGACTGTGTTTAGAATCTTCTGGAGTAATCAGTCTTCAGATGCCCAGATTCATGTCAGACCAATCGACGCTGAATTTCTAGGGAGGAGCCTGGGTCTGGGATTTATTTCAGGTACTCAGGTGATTCCACCAACCCCACCATCCCTGACACCTGAGGCCTGGAGAGGGCAAGTGGCCCATCCAAGGTCACACAACCTCTGCATGTCACACTCACAGTGATGGGACATTTCCTATAAGCCAGGTGCTACTCTAAGTGCTTGACATGACTTCACTCCTTAGTCACCACCATGCTCTGTGAGGGGGGGTCATGGATAGGTGAGGATGCCAAGGCCCACTTTGCAGTACCTTGTCCCAGGTCAAGGCCAGAAGGTAGTTGAGATGGGCCCGGGATCTAACCCCTGCTCTGATGACTACTGTGCTCCTGACGCCTAGTAACAACTCTTGACACCTCCCACCACATGCCCTCCATCCTCACAGACCCCTGAATGGGGGCCATGACTATTACCATTTCACAGATGGGGAAAGTGAGGCCTCCAGGGAAGCCAAGCCTCCACCAAGACTGACAACTCCTGGCTTGCTGAGGGTCTGCTTTCGACATGCTCCCTGTGTTCTCAGAACTCCTGGAAAAGTGGGTTCTCAAGGCACTGGTTAAAGGAGAAAATGCTGTAATGCAGATATGGCAAGTGGCTCCCTGCCTCCCTGCCCTCTTCTGCCCACCCCCTCATCCAGGAAGTCCTATAGGCCCCACAAGGCAAAAAGGAACAAGCGCTACTAGGAGTCAGCAGATTGGGTCATGCCTGAGCGTGCTCTGTGCCTGAGCATGTGATTGCCTTGGCACGGGACACACCACCTGGGAACTTCAGGGTCTTTGTGACCTCTGAAAAATCAGGATGAAGCCACTTTGTCTCGGTCAAGGGGTTTTGAGGGGACTTAATTGCTACCAGAAGAGAAAATTGATATTGTCTACATAAATTAAAATAAACACACTGTTTGTCCATAAGGTCTCTTGCAGTGTGCATCACTGTCCTGAGTAGGGTATGTGTTCAAGGTCAGTTCAAGGTACTTATCTTAATGAGGTTGTGAATAACTTTCCACCACGAACACTGTATAATAAATTAGGATTTTCAGATGCTGGAATATAATGCAGCTGTTCAAACAATCTCTACAACCTGATCTGGAATCCCAACATGGAATGAGGATGTGGCTGACACTGGGGGAGCTTTGCCAATCACCAAGGGCAACAAGGGCTGAATGTGAGGGCCGTCCTGTGCCCTAGGGAATCAATGAAGAGCAGAAACACTGGCTCCTTGCACAGTGATTCAGCTCAAGAAGCTTTTATTTAGCACCTGTTATGCCTGGCTCCTCTGTGGAGACAGTGTCTAACGCTGGGCAGAAATGAGCCCAGCCTTGAATGGGATCTGGATTCTAGTCCTGATCCTGGCACTAACTGGCCATGTGACTGTGGGCAGGGCCCTACCCACGTTTAGGCCTCAGGCCTTCACCTGTGAACAGGGGGTTGGGCTGGGTGGTCTGACAGTCCTATGTGCATTGAGAATCTTGGTCTCATGAGGTAGAAAGAGGACCCTGGGCCTCTGGCCAATGTAAGTGTCTTTGCTTCCTCATCTGGGAACTCCTATGTCACCCACATGGGGGACAGAGCCTGAGGCATCAGGCCAGGTCTGGCCTGTGACTGAGCAAGTCAATCAAACTGTCAGTGCCTTCACCTGTGGAGCCAAAGTCTTGGCAGTGGAGCAGGCAGACAAGGGGTGCACACACACCCCCATTTACCATCTGTGGAGCCTCGCACAAATGCAGGTCCTGTGTGGCCTGGGCCTTGATCATAGGTGGGAAATCAGTTCGTGAACGTGAGCACCTCCTATGCACCTGCTCCTTAGCTATCCCTGCAGAACAGAGGGCGTTTACTCTTCACCTGTTGTCACACCCTAGGGGACAAAGGAATTCCACACTGTACTCACCACGCACAGACAGCTCAGTGCCTGGTCCAGACTTAAACTCCGTGTCTTCAGAGCCACCGGCTTTCCGGAACTTCACGCAGTAGTAGGTGCCAGCGTCTGCTGGGGTGACATTACTGATGAGAATGGAGAAGTCCATGTTGTCCCTCTGTGTGCCATCTGAAAGTAGTGTGACGCGGGAGAAGTGGCCTCCTTTCTGACGGAAGATCAATTCCCGGCCTGGTCCTTCCCCCCTGAACCACTGGATGGTCCCCACAGGGAGCAGGGAGGTCACAGTGCAGCGCAGAGTGGCCGTCTCTCCAGCAGCGACAGACACTGACTTGTCAGGCTGAATCACCTGCAGCTCCTCCTGTGCGGCTGCTCCTGGAGGGAAACGGAGCAGTTACTGTGCGTCCTGAGGGGACCCGTGGGGTTTCTCAAGTTTATCAATAACTTTCAGTGACCAAGTGCACAGTGTGAGCAGGACTTGAACTCAGCACCCTGCAAGTGTGGTCAGGTTTAATCCTCACATGGGCCTGGAACCTGAGACTGTAACACAAATGAGGAAACTGAGGCACAGAGTGCTAAATCACATGGCCAAGTGCATGCTCAGTGCCTGAGCCCAATGCAGAGTCACAGCTGAACCAGGCCCTTGAATTCAAATCTGAATTTGCCAGGAAGAAAGGAGCCAGGTATTCCTGACAGAGGGAACAGCCTGGGCAAAGTACAGAGGTTGAACGCTACAAGGTAGTAAACTCTGTTTTCAGCCTGCACCAGGACAGAGGCCCTGGGCCGGAAAGCTGTATTCAGCAGTCTGAGTGCTAGTGCAGTGGGAGAACCCATGTGGGCTTGAGTTCTGCCTCTGTGGTGTACAGTCGGTCACCTAGAGTGACCATGGCCAAGTGTCACAGGCATGTGAGTGCTGCCCTCGCTTGGGCAGGGACTTTTATGGCTCTGAAGCCTTGGTCTCATCACCTGTGAAACACTTGCTATGAGCCATCTCCATGCCTGTCTGGTAGGACCAAACAAGCAGAAGCCAGGGACTGTGTCAAAAAGCCACATCTGACCTGGCTTGAAACGTGGCACGCCCCTTGTTTGTGTGTGACCCTAGTTTATCCATTGGTTTTGAGTCTCTGTTTCCTTACCCACAAGATGGGCAGAACTCCCACAACACCCTCTCATCCCCTGCAGCCCTCTGTCTTGTTCTGGAAAAAAATAAGAATCATGCATAGAAATTCTTCAGCACCAGATGGGGCACAGAGAGTGCTGCTGTCATTATGCCAACAGTGAGTACATGGGGAGGGGGCTCTTGCTCAAACTTCACTCCCACCAACCCTGCTGATGCCCCTTCAGTCAGGCCTGAGCTGTATTACTGGGACTTATAGGAGTTGACCAGCTGGGTGACTGGCAGAAGTCCTGGAGGTCAGCTGTGGCCAGCTGAGCCCCTCGGCAGACCACTACGCACATGAGACAGGGACCTAGATAGACAGACTAGGGGCCAGGGGCCAGGAAGATGACTGGGCAGGACCAGGTTGCTGTGAGCTGCGGATGCCCAGGGGCTAAGTGAGGACAGCTCAGAGCAAGGCATAGCCAGGGTTCCGGCATTTGGAGCAAAGCAAGCAGGAAGAGAAGGACAGTTCATAAAGACCCTGGAAAACCACAGCCATCACGGGGGGGGGGGGGGAGGGAGGGCAGGGATTGGTTTCTCTTAGAAACTCAAATTTGGGTGTGTTTAAGCCCCTCTCTAAAATACAGCAGTTGCATATAATCTATGTATGTCCGTTCCCATACTGCACATCACCTCTGATTACTGGTACACTCACGAGTCATCGACGACAGGGATGTATCATTAGGTAATTTCATCACTGTGCGAACATCGTAGTGTAATTAACAGACCATTTAGGTCTGGCCTACTGGGCAGGACCAGGTTGCTGTGAGCTGCGGATGCCCAGGGCTAAGTGAGGACAGCTCAGAGCAAGGCATAGCCAGGGTCCGGCATTTGGAGCAAAGCAAGGCAGGAAGAGAAGGACAGTTCATAAAGACCCTGGAAAACCACAGCCATCACGGGGGGGAGGGGAGGGCAGGGATTGGTTTCTCTTAGAAACTCAAATTTGGGTGTGTTTAAGCCCCTCTCTAAAATACAGCAGTTGCATATAATCTATGTATGTCCGTTCCCATACTGCACATCACCTCTAGATTACTGGTACACTCACGAGTCACTCGACGACAGGGATGTATCATTAGGTAATTTCATCACTGTGCGAACATCGTAGTGTAATTAACAGACCATTTAGGTCTGGCCTACTGCACACCAGGCTACATGGTCTACACCATCATCATAGTTGTGGCCTGTCACTACCAACACGTCATTATGCAGGGCATGACTATAAAACTTAATACTACGTAAACAGTGGTGACACAATGCTCTTCAGGGAAAGGTGGCCAGAGAACCCTCATGTTCAGTACAGATGCAGCCACCATAGGCCTAACTATGTTTTTTTTATTTGTGGGTGGGAGGGATTGGTTCTGGGGTTTGAACTCAGGGCTTCACACTTGCTAGGCAGGGGCTCCACTGTGTGAGCCACACCTCCAGCCCTTTTTGCTCTGGTTATTTTGGAGATGGGGTCTTGTTTTTTGTCCTGGCCAGCCTGGACTATGATCCTTCTATTTTAAGCTTTTCACTGTCACTGGGGTGACAGGTGTGCACTACACATCTAACTTTTCAGTCAGGATGTGTTCTCACAAACTTTTGTGTGTGTGTGTGTGTTTTTTTTTTTTTCCGCCCCCCAGGTTTGCTTGGACCTGCAATCCTCCTGATCTTAGTCTCCAAGTAGCTAGGATTACAGGCATGAGGCACAAGTGCCAAGTTCTCTCTACGTTTTGATCTATAGTTGGCTGAGGGTGTGGATATGGAAAACAAGGGATGGGACAGCCAACCATATACACAGACAGAGATACAGAAAGGGAGACGAGGTCAAGGAAGGGAGAATGGTGCAGCCTGGCATACAGTGGGTCAGGTGATCCAGGTCCCTAGCTGGGTTCCCCACTAACCCATCAGACAGGGCTACAGCAGACTCCCTGAGCAGTGTCCCCCAACCCCGCATGCTGGCTGGGCATGAGACAGACACTTTGAGTTTACTACCAGCCCATGGCCTGCTGTACCTAGGGAAGAGGGGCCAAGACCTGGTTTTCCCTCACTGTGGGCAAGCCCACCTCCTCGGGGCAAGGTGTTACCATATGCCTGCTGTCCTGCCTCTTTCCCCCTCCCCAGCCAGGGCTTCCTGGAGGCCTGCTTCTCATGGTAGGTGAACACAGGGGAGCCCAGGGAAAGAAATCAGAACGTGGGGCTGAGGGCAAGGGCTCAGCCAACCAGGGAGGGGTAGAGCTGGTGGCTAGATATGTGAGGGGCAGCACATGGAAGAATAGGCCAGCCAAGGCCCATAGGAGCAGGCAGCCACCTGGGGACATCAGCGGCATCACCAGCAGTTACCAACAGCACAGAGGCCGGGACATTCCAGTGTGTCTGTACTTGAGCATGGGAGACGGTCGATCTGGAAACACAGCTTGCAGGAAGCACAGGTGCGGGGCAGAAGGCTCCCCCTAAGCCTGCTCAGCATCCCCTCCCTGGACCCCCCACTCTGCCATCCCTAAAGCTAAGTACCATGATCTGCTCCCAGCAGTCATGAGGACCATGACAGACCTATACATAAGCTGCATGCTTGTTGGTTAAGTTCTGCTTCCTATCCCAATTGTATCACAGAGCTGTATCATTTATATACTTGATTTCTCTTGACTGTTATGTCCCTGCCCAAAGAATGGTGAATCCACAAGGGACTGTCTCCAGCCTCCTGCCTAGAACAGTATCTGGCACACCTTGGGTCCCCAATAAATACACGCTGAGCAAACACGCTGATGGAGGAGGAAGGAGGGGCTTGATTTGCTCCCAGACCACGAGCCTCTTCCTTCATCTGTTCAATGGAGCTAACATTGGCTCCAGGAGATATCCAGGAGACGGCTCCCAGTTATTATTATCCTTATCAATAACAGTGCACAGGGCTGTGAGTCAGCAGTGGGCCAGGAGCACTGCGCTCAGGAGGGGCTCAGAATCCACGCTGCACACGGCAAGTTGGGCCAGGGCTATTCCTGAGGTGCAGCCGGAGGCCTGTCATCACACCCCGGGCGGGCGACAATAAAATGTGGAGCTGGAGAGGGCTGATCCTCCCCCACTCTTTTTTTTTTTTTTAGCTCCTCTCAAGCTTCCACCAACTGCAGCCAGATTTAGGAAGCTTAATTAATTAGCTAGTGTTTATAAAGTGTTTGAAGAATTTTAAAAGTGCGACGTAAGTGCCAAATATTATTTTAATCTGGGTGTGTGTGTGTTTTTTTCCAACAGAGAGCTTTTTTTTTTTTTTTTTTTTTTTTGCTTGCTTGCTGTCTTTTCTTTTTCTGTACACATTCCACTCTGGGATCTGGGCTTGTTAAAAATTGCTCCTGTAGTCCAGCCCAAGGGTCATGGTGCTGATGTTGCTGGGAAAACTATTTCCTACTCTCCCTCGGGCCCCTAGCAGAGTGGGCACAGTTCAGGCGTCTGCACAGGAGCAGAGGGTGGCTGGGCAGGCTTGCCACCTGCTGTTGGTGTTAGGGGAACCTGAACGCCCTCTGGACAAGAAGTTTGGTAGGACAGACCACAGGTGTGAGAACTGCTCACCAGTCCCCAGCTGGGCTGTTCACAAGGACCTGACCTCAGGCACTGGGTAAGTCCCCTCCATAAAGGTCATGAAAAAGGGGGAAAACAACCCAAAGGGCCAGTGATAGGGATGGTTAAGTGAATGACGGCTCATCCCCCACATGGAATTACAGGCAACCATAAAAAGCCATCACCATGAAAACCGTGCTACTACGAACATTTTTCATGGCATAATTTTAAATAACATAGTGGTTATGCAAATCTGCGTGGGATTTTGCTTTTGTTTATGTTGTCTGTTTGCATTATTTGTGCAAGAGATGATGGAAAACCTGCTTTCAATATGATTGTGGTTTTTGCAAAATAAAACTACTTATGAATAACTGCAAGGTAGTATCCAGAGCTATAAAATACAACTCTCTCCAGATTGTGACTCTAAAGCAACTGATGAGTTTGTTCTCCCCCCACTTCTTTTTTTCTATTTTGGGTATTTTTTAGATTTTCTAAACTGAATGAACATTAAATAATTCATATAGTATCATGGCTGAGGGGAGGGAGTGACTCAGTGGTAAGAGTGCTTGCCTAGCATGGGTAAGGTCCAGAGTTTGATCCTCAGCACCAAAAAGCAAAAACAAAATAAAGAATACACACAAGCTCGTGTGTTTAAAGAGTGTAACGTAATGTACACGTCACTCATGTT